TAATCCTTGTTCTCTTTCCCTGTCCTGCTGAGGAGAAAGCAAGTGAAAGGCAGTTTGGTCCTTCCACCAAAGGCAGCCCCAAGGAGAATTGAAAAAAAGGTACTTGAGCCCATTAACAGCTCTACACTACGTACACATAATTGATTTCACACTGTTTAACATTTCCTTTGTCTTCTTGTGGAACATCATCTTTCTTCTTAGCTTCTCTTTCAGCACAAGTACGAATCTAGTAATTGAGAGAGAAAAAAACGAACCAACAAACCCCAGAAAACTGTATTTTTAAAACAAGAAGTTACAAGTTAAAGACAACAAACATATCCCTCATAGCAGAAGAAGAGCAACAATGACTTTTTAAGATCACAGCTTTCAAATTGGTTAATTTGCAACTGGGGGCAAACACAATAAAAGCAAGAGCTGCCTGAAGCATGGGAAATATTAAGTGTAATCCTTTATACTACCGTAAGACATAAATCGCCTTCATCTCAAAGAAGTACCATTACAGTTCTCAGTTTTAGCAGGGGTAAAATGCCTTTTTTCAAGACTGACTTAAAAAAAACATTCTTGCTGTTACTAGTAGACACCTATCTGTGTTTGGAGGCACACGTATTTTTCACATCCAAATGAAGTCAACATAGTCTTTTTACATTCGCTTACTTACAAGATCTTCCCTTCTGCATCATTCTGGTAAACTCTTCTTTGTCCCTGTTTAAGTCACAGTTAACCTCTCCCATACTAAGATGTTCATAACTCTCTAAAATTAATCATACAGTCTTGCCCCTTAACAGCTTGCTCTTCTGTAGTGGTAAAATACCCTCCTATCTCTACCAGAAGTACCTCAGCTTATGCAGCCCTAGAGCTTATTTACTTTTTTTTGTGGCCAAATCACTTAACAGCTTATAGAAAACTATTATAACTGTATTAACAATAAATTGTACCACACACACACACCTGGTTAGTTGAATATCCATGCCAAATGCATACTAACTGTAAAAGTTATATGTTACCTTTATCATTTCTTCTTCCCCTGCAGTTTTGCTTTGCGCTTCTATGTCTCCCTCTTCATTACATCTAATAAAACGGCTATTTGCTGCTAGTAATGCCATTTTCTTCTGCAGAAATAATATCACATACTGTTAGTATGAAGAGTTTGTTTGTATATAATCCTTGATTCATAATATCTATCCTCTACAATACACCAGAAAACTCTGTTGATGTGTCTTATTAGTTTATACATTAAATATAAAATTTATACATTAGTTTATACTTAAATAGCGAGCCAGTAGACTTTCTGGCTCCCTCTTTCTTAAGATGCTTATAGCTGCCAAAATGCAGTGACTTGAAACATTTTAAGAACTTCCAATTAGAGTAAACAAATTGCAGTCGGGAAAACAGAGGATTCAAAATTCCAGTGCAAAAGAGATTGCAAAAGTTAATTTAGACTAATTTAAAATACAGTTGAACACTAGGAATATCAAATGAACTATTCCAAGCAGCTTACATCTTGGAAGACAGGTTCCCACTGCTCTCTTGACCCGATTGCATCTGAACGTCCAACAACAAGTCCATCTGAATTTATACCAAGGTATTTGCCATAACCAGACTTCAGAGCAATCCTCAAAAAGAAAATGGAGGAAAACAATAAAGAATGTTTTTAATTCAAGCAATTCGCAATACCCAACACGTCACAAAAAAGCATTATAGTAGAAAGTGTATTTCAAGAGAATATTAAACGACGTCTTCATACCAAAACCAAAGATAACAAGCATCAAAACCTGTAACAGTAATTACCTTGTATCAGACAACTTCACTGCTGTAAATTGTTCAGGAGGACTCGGGCCTTCATCATCTGAGGAATGAGTTTTCCATTAGTTAAGTATGAAGTAAGAAATACGTCATATTTTAAGCTGTTATACTGCAGTTTCACACAAGCTGAAGAATTAATGGCTACTGCTAAATACTATGGAAAACTGTACTACTATATTTCTTTAAAAATTACTTTTTATTAACTTAAAAAAAAAACAGAACAATTCAGGTGCTTATTTATGTTCATATAGTGTGCTTAAAATAAGACACAAAATTAAAAAAAAAGATTTTTTGTGAAGAAATTTCACAGCTGAAAATGTTTTCTAACTCTTTATGTGGCTTTGAAAACCTCATTCTTCTCATAAAGGTATTTTTTCTGTAAGAAAACGTATTATGATTCAGCTATGGTAACCCAACTCAGTATCCTTTAAGCTACTAGCCTTGCTGTCCCTCAAAACCAAAATGAGGTAATATTGCCATCGTTGCTTCGATCTCGCTCTGGAGGTGAAACACACTGTCAGGCTTCTGGAACTGTCCTTGCCTGACTGATGGCTCTCAAATCCCACATGCGGACACGCTGACATGAGTACACACTCATGTATTAATTTCAGGCTACACGTCAGCAGCCCGCTCGTGCAGCAACAAAGTAAGTCTTTTAACATGAAGATGTAGCAATAAACCTTGAAACTCATTTGCTCTGAGTGTCACTCTTCAACCGACACCATAAAGATTTTATGAGGTTTAATAAATGTTATACTGCTTTTTATCCAGTAAGTGGTACAGCCTTTAACAGGTGATCATCTCCGATGCAGTTCAATTTATTGTACACATAAACCAGTAGGAAACTAGATCAGTGAAACTGATTGGTAGCCATTAGGTTTAAGTAATCTCCATGCTACAGCTAGGATTACTGCACTATTCGTAATAAACTGCTTTTAGTTGTAAAACTGCTTGTCTTTAAGTGATGCTACTCTTACGTCTTTCATTACTAAAACAGCTTATTTCTAAATTTCTTGAAACAAACCTTTATGCGGCGCTCCAAGCGTAAACAAGCCGTTGTCAAGGGCATGAATGTAAGCTCCTTTATCCATTTCTATAGCTATTGTTCCTGTAATTTCACCAAAATTACTGACAGCCCACCAGTTTCCTGAAATACAAAACCACGTCAGTTAATAGAATATTTACAACTTCTAACTACAGTAGTTCAAGAGATGGTATTTCTTCATCTTCTCTGAGATCCGAAATTCCATAGATAGAATTGCTATTGCTGTCTCAAGATAACCTTGAACATAAGTAATCTTGCCTTATCTTTATACAACATAAGGAGCTAATTGTCTTGTTCTATGCAGTCAAGGCTCACAAATCCATGCATGAATTCTACAATTCTCTCCCTCTTTTCTGAAATCAGGCTAATCTAAAAAACACAAAATGTGTAAGATTCTTCTAGTGTAAGACATATCAGCCCATTTTCTCATATATCATTTGTTTTTACGCAGGAGCAAAGATGACTTCCCCTTGCACTGGGTATTTTTAAGTGGTTATTTCTCAACTGCTTGTGAGGTGAACTATGATCAACTGAGGACATGACAGCACTGAAAAGCAACAGTCTGTCAAGTTACCACTCCTGACCACACATACTCTGACCCTTCTATTTTATGAAAAAGGAGAACGTAAGCTATGTTTTGTAACTGGTTAATGTTAGTTTCAACTAACAGTAGTGAATTCATAATGCAAACACATCACAGCAGTCAAGTGAGTATGCCAGATTAAAAACAAATACACCAGCTAACCAAGACTGATTTCTTTTTGAAAGGATCGAAGTTTTCAGTGACCTAAAGAACCCAGTCAGAAAGTAACTCGTGGCAGAGTACGAATACAAAACACAGGTGATCCAACCACTAATTTTCAAAGTAAGAGTAACAGAAGGTGTAAGTTATTTACACAGAAATACCCTCATTCGATAGCATTACAGCATTAAAGAGGTCTTTCCTCCTAAACCAAATACCACTGGGAAAAAAAACCAACCCAAAACAGAGATCCAAGCTGAGAAGTAGCTTGAGATTATATAAAAACATACTTTAGCTAAAAATATAAGGGGAAAATCCATCCCATCATTGGTGTCAAAAGTTCCATTTGGAGTTTAGGAAAACTCCAACATGCCAATAACATGTTGCAAGAAATAACTATGAAACCCTAGAGGGATTACACTTAGTTTACAAAGCCCTGTAACAATCTCTTCGGCTATCCCCTACAGTTTCCACACGGAGAGGTAACTCCCGGCCAGCAGCTCACCAACGATATCAAGCTGCTCTGCCGCATCCTCTTCCCTTTTCCTTTTCTTCTCCTTGTGCTTCTTCTTGCTACAAAGGGAGAAGGCAAAGAGATCAGGACGTGCCTCCAACCCGCCCCGCTCCTTCCCAGCGAG